GGGCCAGAGATTCGCAACAATAGATCTTCCAAAGAGGCTACAAATGAAACTTCAGACATCCGTGAACCCAGCCCTCCACGCCAAAACACCCACGATTCACCGAGGCGGCAGGCAATAAGAGGCGCTTCCTATGGTGCTGGTAAGTCTGATCGTCAGCACACACAACTACACTCATACGGTGCCGAGTTTGGTGCCACTTTCCAGTCATTGCCAACAACGTCGGCTTCATCTATCAAAGCTCCTAATGTCCCCAAACCTTCCCGCCAAGGATTATCAAATGCCAGTTTACCTACAGATATGCCACCACCATCAGATCGTCTGAAAGGCTTGATGTTGGACTCTTTACCTGCGCATGTGTTCGTCGCATTGCCACAGACTGGAGAAATAGTATGGGTAAACAGTCGATATCTTACATATCGCGGTCAAACTGTATCCGAGTTATATCAAGATCCGTGGAGCAGTATTCATCCTGAAGAAAGAGAGGAATATTTGAAAGCCTGGTCGCATGCAGTGAAGACGGGTGAGCAATTCTCTATGCAGGTACGTATCAAACGCTTTGACGGAAACTATCGTTGGTTCTACACTCGTGCTGTTGGCTCCCGAGATATAAGAGGTGTGATAGTTCAATGGTACGGCTCTCATATGGATATTCACGACCAACATATTGCAGAAGTCAAAGCTGCACGACAGGAGGAAATAGAAGCATCCGAGGCTAAGCACAGACAACTGGCAAATTTAATTCCTCAGATCATTTTCGCGGCAACAGAAGACGAGGGTGTAACCTTTGCAAACGAGCAATGGCTTTCGTATACCGGACAAGATTTCAATGATGCCTTAGGACTTGGATTTATGGATTATGTGCACCCAGAGGATCTTGCGAAGTGCCAAATACCAATTGGTAGACCGCCAACTCCATCGACCAGACCGAAGAAACCAGCCGAGCCGAGAAGGAACCCATCTCATACATCTTCGAGTGGTACATCAGGGCAATCATCCGATCCCTCCGAAGCACCAACCGAAAAGACGGTGAAAGGAATTCACCAAACTTTGTCGCGAAATAATAGCTCGAGTAGTAGTTCTGTATATGAATTTGCCACGGCGGATTTGTCTGAATTGGCGAGAACTGGAGTCATTAAGGTCACCACCGATGGCAATGGGAGACTATCTTATACCACTGAAGTTCGGTTGAGATCGAAGACTGGAGAGTATCGTTGGCACCTTGTACGATGTGTGGAAGTTGACAACATCAACCTCGGAAGTGGAGATGGTTCCTGGTTCGGTGCTTGCACTGATATTAATGATCACAAACTGCTGGAAACAAAGCTCAAGGAGGCCATGGAATCCAAGGGCAAATTCTTAAGCAACATGTCTCACGAAATCAGGACACCTTTGATTGGCATTTCCGGGATGGTAAGCTTTCTTCAAGACACCACCCTCAACGACGAACAGCTCGATTATACGAATACAATTCAATCCAGTGCAAGTAGTTTACTCAACATTATCAACGACATATTGGATCTTTCCAAGGTAGATGCAGGTATGATGAAACTGTCATACGAGTGGTTCCATACACGTTCTCTAGTCGAGGAAGTTAATGAAATGGTTTCTACCATGGCTATCACTAAGCGGCTTGAACTTAATTACATTGTCGACGTTGATGTCCCTGAAATGGTCAAGGGAGATAAATTCCGTATTCGTCAAGTTTTACTAAACGTTATTGGCAACGCAATCAAATTCACAACTGTTGGTGAAGTGTTCACTAGATGCAGGGTATACACAGACGCTGATACACCACCGTTGGTCAACGAAATAATGCTTGAGTATTCTATTGTGGACACGGGTAGAGGATTCACCAAGGAAGAGGCGGATCTCATCTTCAAGCCTTTCAGTCAAATTGATGGTAGCAGTACAAGACAACATGGTGGAAGTGGCTTAGGATTGGTTATTTCGAGACAACTGGTACAGTTACATGATGGCAAGATGCAAGGTACTGCGGTGCCTGGTAAAGGGTCCACATTCACTTTCACTGCAAAATTCGGATTGCCCACTGCAGAAGATCATCCAGAACCACTCACAACACCCCAGTTAAGCAAAGTGCCATCATCATCATCGACACCCAATAAGATAACATCACAAATTGCTGCCAAGCAGGCTTCAAGTAACCCACTCTTAGTTAGCAGGCTGTTGAATTCGCCTGCAATCTTCATGGAGAGTCCAAAGACCGAATCAAGTGCAGGTTCACCAGCTGTACTGTCGTCCAATAGCTCAGAGCCATCTAGCTCTAGCTATTCTGGTCGAACTCGTTTCACAGATAGATCTTCCACTTCTTCTGTCAATCAGAGCCTGGTTCATTTTGGCGAGGCTGCTCGATCGAGTACTCCTGAAAACATGAAACTAGAGCTTCCCGAGAAGCACTCCCCATCACCTTCATCTTCACCGCTGCTTGAATCTACACCCTCATCGACTCCTGCAAATACCTCCTCGACCCTTCCACAATCACACACTACTCGTCTAAACCATGAATTCTCACACGACTTGAAGCATTTCCGACCTCCGATGTACTCGATTCTACTCATTTGTCCGCAAACTCATAGTCGCGAGGCGACGAGACAACACATCGAAATCACTCTACCAAAAGACGTTCCTCATCAAATAACTCCACTTGCAAGTGTTGAGGAGGCCAGAAGTCTCATCAGCGGAGATGATTCTGTCAATTTTACACATATCGTCTTGAATCTTGGTTCGGCAGAAGAAATAGTACAGTTGATTGATCAACTTATCGCATCCGTAATGTTGCCTCATACTTCAATTGTTGTTCTATCAGATCCTGTACAGAGACAAGAAGTCATTAAGATGGCTCAATCATACGACTACGATCAAATGGCTAAAGATAATCGTCTTACATTCATATACAAACCTGTTAAACCATCGAGATTTGCGGTTATTTTTGATCCAGACAAAGAGAGAGATTTGAGTACTGACCGAAATCGTTCGAGTGCCCAGCAACAAGTCGCCAGCCAGAAACAACATTATTTGGATGTGGGTCAACGCCTTGGAAACAAGGGACTTAAGATCCTGTTAGTAGAAGACAACTTGGTCAATCAAAAAGTTCTCTTGAAGTTCTTGAGTAAAGTTGGAATTGCGGTGGAATTGGCAATGGATGGTGTGGAATGTACAGAGAAAGTGTTCTGCAAACCGCATGGATTTTATTCTTTGATCTTGGTACGTATTTTCTTCCTCTCTGCTATCATCCCATATCATGACATATTATTCCCCCGCTCTGATTTAACATAAACTAACACACCCAAAAGTGCGATCTCCACATGCCCCGAAAGGACGGTTATCAAACCTGTCGCGAAATTCGTGAATGGGAAAGCGAAAGATCAACCACGAAAATGCCAATTATCGCTTTAAGTGCAAATGTAATGGCGGATGTGCTGGAAAAATGTGTTCAGGCTGGCTTCAACAGTTATGTGACTAAGCCGGTGGATTTTAAGGAGTTAAGTAAGGCGATGAGTTCCTTGCTTGATCCGGAGGCGGGGGATATGGGAGGTGCGTTGATGAAAGCGCCGAAGAAAGCGTCGTGAGATGAGGAGAGATGGAGGGAATGGGAAGAGGCGAGGAAGGGAAAAGATAAAGGGATATTTATGAGTTGAAATGTTACTAATACTTTTGATTTCTTTCTTGAGTATCTGGTTCTTAATGAGCGGTGCATTACTTGGCGTTTTTCACTTTCTTTTTCCTCGGCTACTTTTTTACACGTCTTCGTTTTATCTTTTCATATTCAAAATGGGACTTGTTCGTGTGGCAGAGCGTAGGGGGTATTTAATGCACGGGGGATTACCACTGTGCGGATGTAGACGGTGGATGGATCGAGAGGGGGGAGAGGGTAAATGAATGAAGACGGATATGTAAATTATATTATGGATAATGTGGATTGCGTCTGTCTGTTTGTCTGTCTGTCTCAAGGGACTTTTTCTTTTCTTTTTTCTTTTGAAACATAGATAGCGTAGGGTACCTAGCTTGATGGCGATCGATATGAATCATATGATGGTGATGATTCTGTGAGCGAATTTATTATGTTTTATTTTATGATTTGGTAATACTGTGTTGTGTTGTGTTGTGTTGTGTGTGTGTATGCAGAGGTATGATTTGTTGTTTGATGGTGTGAGTCCCTAGGTAGTTACCATTTGAGTGAATGTGATGGCCTTGAATATTAGGCTACGTTTGGAATCGGAACAAAACTGAACAAAGTTGGAGCTAGCCTCGGGGAGAAGGCTACGGACCGCCGCGGTGTTGAATGTGGGGAAATGAGAAGGTCGTGATTGTTACGTAATGACAAAAGTATTTACGATGATAGGTAGACTCTGCGCTAGTGCTTGGCAGGGTGTGTAAGGAGTAATTTGATATTTTGATCTCGATTTAGCATTTCAGGAGAACAGAGTAGATTGAGTACGGTCGTGTTTAAATCAATATGAGTGAATCGCGTCGTTACTGTTACAATTTATTTGGTAGTATTGCCGTAAGTAATTCATTAGTTTGTCTTGTTACAACAACGTGGTGGATGTGTGAAGATATAAAACAATCAATTGACAGATCTAATTGATGGAATCTTGAAGAATATCGAGATTGCATTCAACCATTCAACGATAGCAGCCCTAATTATCACGTGATGTCTATGCTGCACGGTCCACGAGCTGATCATTGCAGCTAATTTTAGCACAACAAACTGGATTTTTCACAGCTAGCCTGACCTAGTAAGCACTTCTTGAATCTTTTTACACTATTCGCGCTTCTTCCCGACGAAACAACTTCCATCAACTTTTCAGACCACCACGTACAACTTCAAAATTCATCTTACATTCAAAGAATTTTGATTCGCATACGGTACCTCATTCATCTCGATTATCTCAAGTTGATAAATAAATTCAATTCGCATTGTCGCACTTCGTCACCTTCACATAATCGCGAGTCGCGCCATCACTTGACAACTCCTCAAGATGGTTGGAGCTCGCCGCACACGCGCAGCCGGCGCCAGTCCAGGTGGTTTTAAATCACTTGATGATATTCCAAAGCCTACACGCGGAAAAGGAAAGAAAATCAAGGCTGAATCCGTCGAACCTTCAATCGAGTCCGAGTCCATCGATCCATTCATCACATCTGCCGAAGGCAACAATAATACGGAGTCGCAAAAGGCTTCATCACCTCCTACAAATCCTTCCAGAACAAACTCTCCAGATTCGCACTCACCTTCACCTACACCGGTCAATTCACGACTCGATTCACGCTCTACCTCCCCACCAAAAAATAATACCACATCAAATGACGCGTCTTCAGACAACGACGTTGTTGATCAAGAGCAGGATGCACAGCGCATTGCTCATCTCGGATCCAACAGAAAGAGATCTCGAGCATCAGAGCCTTCTACCCACCAAAGTGTTGGCATTACAAAGGAAGACGCAGAGGATGATGAGCAAAGGGTCAGCAAGCGTACACGTAGACAGGAAAGCCAAGGCACCGAGGATGCCGATATTGAGAATGAGAAGTCGACTGAACCAGAGCCTGCACCCGAGAAGAAACCCAAAGGTCGTCCTCGCACTCGCGCAAAGACCACCCCTAAGAAATCTGCGAACAAGACCCGTGGCCGCAAGCAAGATCCAGTTGTCCTCAACGACAGCAGCTCAGACGAAGCAGCCGAGACAACTGTATCGCCTTTCCAACCTCGATTGAACTCTACACCAAAACAAGCCGCCGCGCCTTCTCCACGTACTCCTCAAAATCAGCAAGAACTGATTTCTTCTGAAGAAGATGAACCCCAAGCTGGTCCATCTACCATTAGTCACTCGACCTCCAAACCCACACTCCTCTCTCCAGATATCCGACCGGTTCTTCAAGCCGAAGCCGAAAAGCCAGCTTCATCTATCACTGAAACTGGCCCTTCTCCCTCGAAGCCTCGTGCAATTCCTCCTGTCACTCGACCCATTGCTCGAGCAATTTCGACGTCGTCTATCAAGATTACACCTGGCATGGGAAAGACCGAAAGATTGCGTTTAATGATGATGCAAAGATATCATCCGGAAAGACTTGCTTCACCAACCAAAGGAAAAGAAGTCGCGAAGGAGGTTGTTAAAGAGGTTACAAAGGAGGTCACCAAAGAGGTTGCTCAAGGCACCCATGATGTATGTTACAAGAATCCTCTCACCAACTTGTGCCATGGTACTGACATAACGAAGGTGGCTCATAATGAGCGCAAGAAGACGACCGCTGTGGCTTCTTCCAGTGAGACTCTTTCCAAATCCGATGTTCCCCATTCAAGACGTCAATCTCCTCGGGATGGACACAAATTAACGGATCCTTATCTAGTAGCTATAAACAAAGTCTTCACTAATCACAAAGATAAGTCGAAGGCTATGCCATCTATCGAACAAGTTACCGCGTTCCTTAATGGCTTCGATGCTCAACAAGCTTCGCACAATGGCAAGAGACAGACGGCTACTCAAAGACCCGCTCGTCCTCTTCAACCAATAACACCCAATCGCTCAGGATTTGTTGTTCCAGGTTACGGAAGTGATGATGATACCGTGATGTCCGATGAGGGTGAAACATCCGTCGTCGAGGAACCAAAGACACCTGAAGCACAAATTACTCCTGTGCCAACTGAAAGCCCTCGAAGCTCCTGGTGGAACCCCCTCTCTACTGTTGCCACGATGCTTACCAGCCCGTTCCGCAAACAGGCCGATGCTGCTCCAGCTCCGCTTCCTTGCAACAAGCTTGTTCCACCACCCTTCATTTTCAGCCAGCCACCAGCCACTCCTTCGGCAGTTCCTCTCAAGCGTATGTCTCACTCAGATCGCAAGCGCAACACTCGAAACAATGTTCAGGGTCGTCTTGGTGGTTTCCAAACCGAACGTCGTCCACGACACAAGGATATTGGAAGATCACCAAGCTCCAAGAATGGTCTTCTCACCCCAGCCGAAATCAAGGAGATCCACAGAGCCCAGGATGAATATGCCGCCAAGCATCAGAATAGAGGTCCTTTGATCGTAGCCAATCGGGATATTCACAAGACCGCACGAGCATCTCAAAGAGAATCTCAGGCTAAAAAGGCCGCTGTTGCTGATGCAGTCGAGGAGGGAACTTCTTCATTCACACATGTTCCAGCAGGCGAGAAGCGTGATGCCAACGGCACACCAAAAGCCCTCAGCCAGCGTTGGAATGACTTCTTAGAGTCTAGTACTGATTCAGATTACGGCCCCAGATGGGTTCGATGCCCAAATGGTCTCTATATTCGAGAGGGTTCCACTGACAAACAATTTGAATCGGGCGATCTTGGCGATGATTCTGCCTGGCAAGATCACTATCGCGATATCGATGCTTTCCCAAAGCAAGATATCTACAAGGGAGCAGGCGTCCAAAACCCACTCAACTCAGCTCAGCTTCTTGAGCAGGCTTATTTGCGTGCTAATGGAGATAAACACATCCCAGACGAGAGCGAAAATGACTATACTTATGTTACTAATGAGCGCCAAAAGAGAGTGCTCTTTTATCCAAGAAGTCCTTACAACATGTTCCAAGTTCCAGGTAAAAAGCTCACCGCGACTCATATTGCGAATATCAAGGAAGGACTTCCTCTCCTTAACCCCCGCGATCAATACGGAATTGCTATCAAGATACCTACTGGTAATCCAGGCAATGTCTTCAACCAATTGGCAGAACAGGAAAGGAGAGCTCAGTACAAGGATGCCGTTGAAATGAAAGCAGGCAGAACTTTGGAGACAAAGCGATGGACTCAAACTCCTCCACCAAAACCCAAGCCTGTCAATGCCAAACTTCCTGGCACTGTTGAGAACACTCCGGCTCCAATCTCCGAGGCTGTACAACACGCCATGAAGAAGGCCAACAAATACTTACCCACAAAGGCAGTGGTCTTAGACAGGTTTCCACCATGAGCCCTGTCCAGACTGATCAGGAGAAGGGTTTGAAGGCTGCAAAAGACTCTAAGCCCATGTTCAACTTTGACTTCACTGCTGCATCTATTGGCTGGAATGCCGACCCTCTGGTTATGGCACGTGTTCAGGAGCGTCTGGGTGAAGGTTACATTCCTATCACACCCATTCCCGACCACATTTGGCATGAACATGATGATCTTGAAGTAGGTCCAGTAGAGCAAGCGGTTGCAGCGTTGTTCGAAGGAATCGACTCCAGAATGTTTGGATCTATGCACAATGGAATCCAAGATCCATCACGACCCCAACCCAAGTACTGGGACGAGCTTCCAGAAAGTCCCGTTGCTGAACGCCCCATCAGATTATGGTAAATTCTCGCGGAACCTAATCCAGTCTTCACGTTGAGTGTCTGTCTCTCAAGACGCTTAATTTCCAAATTGAACCTTACATCAATCATTAATTGAAAACGCTCCTACTTTGGTTGCGGGGCTCTCCCTTGATGGTTCAAATCCATCATCAGGCATGCGACTCGCCTTGATATTTTTGATTTGGTTCAAGACTGGTTACATTCTTGCTTGATTTATCTGATTTATAACATTGGGTGCGTGGTGCTGGGTGGTTATGATACATTCACATGATTGGTTTTCTACTGTTTGAGTTTTCAATGGGATAGTCAACGATGGCGTGCGCTTCGGAATATGATCGAGGCCTTTCTTTTTTACGATACGATACGATCGATACCCTTTCTTTTTCGCTCAAAGATACACCTTTTGCACATGTCAGATGAGTGAGTTACATACTCTGACAACGTGCACTTTCTACACAGAATATTTCGTCTTTTCGACACTACCAGCAAGATGATTATCTCATCGGCACATTAATTTTACATCACGTACATATTTACAACGGGATCTTGAAACACTGAGGATACGATTGCTCAAAGCTGGGTTTGGGAGGTGGCTCCTTCCTACTCATCTTGTTGCAGTCTATCCAGCGTTTTTCAATTTTCTCACCGTTAATATTTTCGAGATTGATCATATCAACATTAATATCGGCACCCACACATACGGCAAAGAACATTGAAAGAATGAGAATGACAGACATTGATTTCTCTAGGATGGGATCTCCCAGAATTAGGTCAGGATGGTGAGATCCTCGTACCTGGTTGCTGCTGCCTATCCGACTTTCTTTATTTCGCTTTTGTCGCTGTGGAAGCTACGTATCAGGACTATTCGGCAGCGATTGTTTATTATATGAATGGATAGCAGTGGTGACTCTTAGTTACAAGAATGGACTATGGCATTGGAGTCTGTTGAATATAAGAATGGGTGATTGAAGTGACTGCGTATGGAGGAACGAATGGAATTTCAGAAAATAGTCGACAGCAGTGCGTTTTGTGCACTCATTTCTTTATGTATCACACTGTGGGGACGTCCCCCCACGGTTGCGTTTGATTTCTGTATTACACTGTGGGGACGTCCCCCCACGGTTGCGTTTGATTTTTTGCATTCCATTATGGGGACGTCCCCCATGATAGGTCTGCCTCATTTTCTTTTTGCGATTGTCTTTTTTGGTCCGATGTCACCATGCAATATGCAAAGCTCGGGGAACCCAAGTTCAGACTGTTACCTACATGTAGCAGGCGGTGGATTGAGATGAGGGAACGCGATTGTATGCAGTCTTCTTGCTGCCTTTTGTTTTGGAGTTTGATATTGGCAGGGTAGTTGGTTTTATTCGGAGAGGTCTCTAGTCTGCTGGACGCAGTGGACCATGGATTCTCTACGTTTTAAAGGGTTACGTACATGTTGCATCAGTATTTGTCTTTTGGTTCTCTTTAGCATGGCATTGGGATGGAGTTTGTCTTTCTCGGTATGGGCATTGGGCATGGTATGGAGCATGGCATATGGGATTGCATGGAATTCTAAGCATGGAGCATGGTTTGTGCATTAAGCGTTGCCTTCTTTCGTATTACAAGCAAGTTCTCTAGAGAGATACCATGAGTAGACGACAATGATTTGTACATGCTGTCTTTACAGATTTCACACGGAAAGTAAAGATGGATAGGATTTTAAGGGAAGGATGGAATACAAAAGGGAATGATTGGCCTATAGGGCGCGTAAAGAGTAATTTGTATAGGATACAATGAATAAGTAAAAAATCCAAACAAAGAACATGATATTTGTGCTTTTGTGTGTGTGTGTGTGTGTTGTGAATTCGTGGTGATTATATTTGGTGTTGGGGTTTCCGTTTTGTGATGGATCATGGTGGGCCAAGGGCCAGCCATTCCTTTCGGGGTTGTGAAGTTGATGTGAATGCTGTGTGCTGTTTTGTGTGGTAGAGTGAGTTTGTGTGAAGATGAGAGAGTGATCGTGAATGGGGGGGAAGAAGGGGAGGGGATGTGTGTTGATGGTAGGTAGCTAGGCATTGGGGATAAGAATGCCTTGAAAGTTGGATAGGTACCGGTTTGTAATTGTGTTGTGCTTTATAGTGAGCGTTATGTGATGTGGTGGGTATGATATGGTGGGTATGGGGTATACCATGTAATGTAATACATGGATTTGATGTGATGGATGGGTTTTACTTGAATCTTGGGGATTCTGGGGATTCTGGGTGTGGGTGTGGGTGTGGTGAGTGGGGGTTGGGTTGGGTATGGATATTTGGATGTTTGGATGTTTGGATTGAGGGGGGATGGGTGGTGGGTGGTCTCTGTCTGTAGCTGGCTGTGATTGTGGTTTTGGCTGTGATTGTGGTTACTTTGTGGGTGGGTTTCTATGTCACTTATGTGAGCGAAAAGTGTATATTCTTTTGGTGGTTTGGGATGGTGGGTTTTTTGTGTTGAGATTTGAGGGTTGAGGTTGGAGTCTAGACGACGTTAGGAAGGGAAAATTGAGGTAACAATCTGTTGAAAAGATATGAAACCCCCATATGTTTGACAAGCCTGTAATATAAAACTCTACAGCTGATTCGATTACATAGTAGTAAATATACTTTTGAATAATCGTCTTATGTTCAGATGATGTCGTCAATACTAAGATTCCACTCCTTGAGAAGACTGCTGATGTTGAGATGCTACACTGAAGTGACAAGGAATGGCACTGCAACTTGAAAGGGCGGACTTTTCACAACCCGAAGCGACTGGTTGTTTTTGTCCTACTGCCTTGTTTATATAGATATACAGAAGTATGGCATGGTCGGAGTGGTGTTAGCTATAGATAGAATGGAATTGTTAAAGGTTCACTACTGCTACTTCTACCGCCTGTGAACTTTTGAAGTTGTCTACGGACATTGATGGTATTGGTCTTCAAAGAGCGGCATACCCAGCGGACAAGTTACTGCAAACATACAATAAGTACTCTTCACGCTTTACATCCCACATGCCACATTCTCCGGCATCAGCGGCACAGTGGCATCTTTACAGCCTTCACAGAAACTTAGTTCAGGATCGGAGATGCTGGGTGGGGGGGGGTCAACAATCCGGCAAAAGGATTCATAAATAATTATTCTATTGATTCTTTGTTCGTGTTTTCAAACTTGTCACTTATTGGACTCAAAAGATCTTATCTTTGTTTTAAAAGTACCTCGAGCGTACCTCGGGGGTACATCATTTATTACCCCTTCAACAAAGAAGTACAATTCCAAAATGGTATATGAAAGGGTAGACGGAGTGTGCATCCTCGTCCGACGACAAAGAAACAGAATATATTTTAGGATGCTGGTGAATAAGGATAAAGAAACCATGTGATTTAGAGTAATCAATACAAACAAGAAGAAGAACCGACTCGAGAGAATGGAGCAAATGGAAAGGGTAATGGGAATGGAAATACATCAGGAGATTATAAATAGGCCGACTCAAAGGTGCAATCTTCGTGGCGAAAAACTCCATCCGATATACACATAAAGGAAACAAAATTCTAGAAAAATGTGGAGAAATGGAACAAAGAAGATTTAGACACCACCGTGTGTAGAGATGAGAATGTGTAGAAAGATTAATAGTTAAAAGTGTTTGGATCTTCTAGAGTTCTTTTCTTCTCTCTCGATTTTAGCAAACACGGATTTGGATAGCATTTATTATTATTCATACTGAGCTGAACACCAACTAACAAATTCATCTTTTTCTTGCTTTCAGTGAAAGAGAAGTAAGAATTGGAGAAGAGTGTTCTATCTCTTATTGTAGGCATTATTTGAGTTAGACATAATCAAAGAAAGGAATACCAACAAAAGCCATCATCTCGTCTACTTACAATCTATTTGCAAGACTCTCAAAAGCGAAGGATCTCAAATCTGAAGCCCAGCAGTGAAGTCACCAAAAAATTGACAACGATGAAAATCACACATACAACCTATAACGAGGTCCGCGGCGGAGCAACTAGCCAAGCTCCCCCCCTATCTCGCAGTCCCCAATTCATAACCACACCTACCGCATTCCGATTCGATACCAGCACACCTCCGCGCTTCGGTACACCTACTCATTCTCCTTCGCCGCCTCACAGTAACCCCTTGGTATACACCACCCGTCGACTAAAACGGTATTTGAAAACCTCCTTTCGGAACCGGACGCGACCTGTAAGTCGGCGACTTTCGCGATCAAGACAGGGGACGAGTATACGGTATCCACCTGGGGAGATGCATCCACCGACCGTTCCGACACAGGTTGGGAAGTACCACAGCGGGAGTGTGCGCGGGAGTTTTTCATCCAAGGGAGAGGAGAGGATAGGAGGGGAAAGAGGAAGTCAGAGTTATGAGAGGGGGTTGGAAACGCGATATAAACATGCGAAGGGGAAGAAGCGAGCGAGTTATTTGAAGCCGAGAGAGGAGGCGAGAGTGAGTCTGGGGGCATGGGGAGGGAAGAAGGGGGCAGCGGGGTTGGATTATGAGAGTTACATGAAACAGCAACGGGATTGGAGAGGGATTTTGGAAAAGGGTATAATGGGGGGAATAGTCCTCCCAGCTCGTCGAGTTTGAACATTCTGGCGGGGAAAAATGAGAGGGAGGTGAGGAATGGGAGTCCGCCGAAATTTGTGCCGAGAGAAGATGCAGCGGAGAGGAATGGGAGGGGAGAGAAACAGGGATTAACGTATGGGGGAATGACGCAGTTGGATTCGGAGACTTACATGAAACAGCAACGGGGATTGGAAAGAGATTTTGCGAAGGGCGTAGGGTATGCTGAGAATAGTCCTAGTCCTCCGCATAGTCGTGCTGAATCGCCGCACATGGCGCTTCCGCGCGGAAATGCAAATCATTCGCCGATTCCGATACCGATTCCGCCGCCGGCGGGATATAAGTATGAGAATCGGACGGGAAATACAAGCCAAAGGGATAGTGTGAGGTTTTCGGATGTGCAGTGGAGTAGTGTTGGGAGTGGGGGGAGTGCGACGGGGACAACGGGGACAACGGGCACGACGGATAGTGGGAATGTTGCGGAGAATTCGAGGGGGAGAGGTGCGGGAATGGCAACGGGGAAACATAAGGCTGCGCCGGGACAAAGATTAAGAAGGAAGGGGAAGTTGGAAGAGAGAGATCAGAGTTCTGCGACTACGCCGGCTAGTTCTCGTTCGCAGACAATCAGTAAAGAAGACGGGATGACTGGTGATGGGAAAGGACGCCAGGAAATGCATCAAGATAGTGAGGAAGAAGTAACGAGCATGGCACAATTAGAAGCGATGAGAGCGGCGATGTGGAAGGGGAAATTGGAAAGAGTAGTTCCGCCCAGTTCTGAAATACCTAAACACGCGGATTTGCTACATCACTCGAATCCGAGCTCGACGTCAAGTCGAGGGAGTAAGAATAGTAAGAATAGTAGAGGTAACGGAAAGGGGAAAAATGTAGAGGGGAGAGCAAGTCCGATTCAGAAATTAAAAGGGTATATGGGACAGAGTCGCGATGCTGTGCATGATTCTCATGAGAAAAAGACGTCTTCGAAGGGAAAACTACCTAGTCCGTTTGAATATTTGTTGTATCCGAGTTACGAGGGAAAGAAAAGTAAAAGAGAAAGCACAGAATTGAGAAAAGGCTCAAAATCAAAGTCAAAGGGAAAATCTAAAGAAGAGGAAGATAGCGACGATGACTTCTGGGGGTGTGTTGGCGAAACGAACAATGAGAGTGGGATATTGCTTTCTCACTCCCCTGCGCTCCCATCAGAAAAGTCTCATCAAAACTCCATTCCGTCCGGAGCCGAACTCCCCAAGAATCGCAAACCGAGCGAAGATTCCTGGAACACGCATTTAAACGATCTCTGCAAACTTTGTCGGAAACACGAATGGACCAGTTCTCGCGGTTTGTGTCATTCCTGCGAGGAAAATTTCCTCAACACGAAAGCGTGGGAAGATACGACACTGCAATTTGATGACGATGATATTCCTCCTACGCCGCCTCTGAAGGATCGGAGAAACATTACTAGGGTGCGCGATATGCTGGCTACGACGCCTCCAGACTATGATATTGAGTATCGACCGCCTGTTCCTGCGAAAGATATCCCTGGGGAAGAGAGGAAGAAGATCTACGTATCGAAAGTTGAGCATAGTCGACCGCAGATTGTGAATCCGTCGCCGGTTAGACACGAGAGTCAGATGTTGGTGTATGGGGGGATGGGTGATAGTCCGAGGGATATCGAGATAGGGTTTCCGGAGTGGCAGACGCATAGTTTGCAGATTGAGGGGGCGAAGACGGAGGAGATGTTTAAGAGGTGGTCGCAGAGTTATAGAGGGGATGGGATGGAGGAGAGGAGAGACGGAGATGAGCGGGGAAAGGAGGATGGAGATGTGGAGGAGCCGAGGGATAGCGTTTTTTATGATTTTTGGGGGGATATTTTGAAGGATGATGGAAGACCTGGAACATCGGTATCAGAGGAAAGGAAACCGAAACCTTGAACTTGCATAATATGATAGATAATTTATGTGTGTGTATTACAATGGATCAGCACTTTCTGCAATACTATTGGATACTATGAAAAAGACGTTGATTTGAGTATCCCACTTGTAAATCTCCTATGGTAGAATACCGAGTGTTGTGTTCACCACAAGTAATTGAGAGGCCTCACTTGAGATTCTCTGAATCTTAGTTTGAATGATTACAATTTAATTTGAGATAAAATCATGACATCAAGGAGGATTAATGGGATCGCAAAACTTTGGCATTCCTCTCTATAAAATGATCATTTCTTTAACTTTTGATACCCGTTAACAAATGCACATAACGTTCATGATCCTCCGATTGGTCCTTCTCCACCTGGTACCAACTACTCTATTATTAGCTCTTGAATTCTTCTCATGATGCGTAAACCAAGACGTGGGAAGATACGTACCATTGCAATACCATTACCGTTCAGTAAAATTTTAGGAAGTTTTGTTTGGCTTCCAGATTGGTGGTCACTACGAATACTCAGTAAAAGCTCCCAAAGCTGCATGGAGTAAAAAGATACGTACAACTCGATAACATCTTCCAAAACCATATTGACATAGTCGTCAAAACCAGTGAGTGTGCCGGTGAATTCTGGTGGTGTGTGAGTATGGATTTCTGGAAAGAGGTGATGATAGAGGTAGTACCTTTGTCACCCTTCATGACAACCCAGATTTTAGAACCGACACATTTGTCAATAAGTTCTAACGATGTGTTAGTTTGTACGTGTGTTTGCGGGCAGATAGAATGACTGACCAAGAGGGAGAAGTTGACTGGCCATTTTGGATGACTGGTTTGAGGTTTACTGATCGAAATATTTAGCTGCAAGAAGGTTAGTTTGTTACGTGGAAACAAAATGATGGCGTGGTAAGAGATATAATATAGCAAATCTTAGTGATTGCCCCAGGTCTGGCATTGACTGCGATTCCATATGGAGGGGGCAATCAATCAAGGTAGAAGCACGTGAGGTTGACAGCGCAGGATAGAGGGATTTGACTCACAATTCAACACCACAGGAAGATATTAGAAACCGTGTCACAGAGTTCGTATTATTCAACGGATAATGGTTTCGTTGTTTGTTTCCTTCCTGTTCGTCTCAAAATCGCATAAACCTCGTGATTCTCCAACTAACAGACAAATTCATCTTCAAGCCTCAGGCATCAATCCCGTACAGTTTCCTATCATCGACCTCCAGGATCAACGATTGGTGTGCATCTGCCTAGTCCTCCACTCCTTCGTAGGACCACAATTCTCTATACAAATGCTCGTGTCATGCTCCCCGGTAATCATGGAGCATATACGGTGGGCAAATCACTTCGGCGTCCCATTATGAAGAATATAACTTCCTTTATTGGGAAATCAAATTTGGTCTCTGTAGAAGCAATGGGTTCAGCAATTGCAGGCATGAGTGGAAAGAGAGCAAGGTATTTTTGTAACTCTATACTGCAATCTATATATTCTCCAGCTGATACAATTTCTGCAGTCCTATGTTGACTCGATCAATCTCATCCAATTCCCCAAAGACATGGCAGCCAAGTCATGGTATCATCTTCAAAGATGTTTCTGCGCCAGGGTCACCGAGACATTTGAGTACAGCTTCTGTAGCAGAGAATGAGCAGAATCTGGAGTATCATTCATACGTCGAAGATAGTTATGTTTTGGCAAACGCGCACGTTGAAAGCTCGGAAACTCAGAAGGTGGCGACAGTGGCTCAGGAAGATAGCTTGGAGCCTGAGACAGCAGCAAATGCTCAAGAGGTAGCGGACGGACAAGAGATAGCAGATGAGATCTTGGAAGATCCTGCTAAGAAGGAACTTCCGATTTCCGAATCCACGTACCAAATGACAGAGGAATTGTTTAAAAAGGCGAAAAATGCCGAGCCAGAGACGCCAGAATCCTACTGGTCACATACTCTATATCGTGGGCCAGAGGAGAATGGTATTCCGAAGAAAGTCAAAGTACATTATTGCCGAAGTCTGCAAACCACGGAACAAACGTTGCAGCAACACTTCTTGGGTAAAAAGGTTCTAGGGTTTGATATAGAATGGAAGGCAGAGGCACGCGCGTATCATGGGCCAAAGAAGAACGTTTCTTTGATTCAACTCGCAACAGAAGAGCGAATTGGTCTCTTTCACATTGCATTGTTTCCACAAGTCAACGCCTCGGAACTCGTGGCTCCAACTTTAAAGAAAATTATGGAGGATCCAAAAGTCACGAAAGTAGGCGTGGCAATCAGCGCAGATTGTACACGTCTCAGAACACATCTTAACATTGGTTCGGTCTCTATATTTGAGCTTAGCCATCTTCACCGACTGGTCAAATATACCCTTTCCCAGGAATACGACCTGATCAATAAGAGATTAGTTTCGCTAGCAAAGCAAGTTGAAGAGCATCTACACCTACCATTGTTCAAGGGCGGGGATGTTAGAGCTAGTGATTGGAGTCGAGGACTATCAATCCAGCAGATTTCATATGCAGCATCAGATTCATATGCTGGTTTCCATCTCTACGATATACTCGAGACCAAGCGCCAAGCTCTAGACCCAACGCCTCCACGTCCATCTCACGCCGACCAAAACGCGCCTATTCCCCTATCACACCTTCCTACACAAACTCCAATAAAACGAAAATATACTCGACGCCAGGTCATGCAAGATCCCCTACCACTTGACCCTGATTTTTCGCTCGAAGATCCCAAAGCTACCAATGAAGCTTCGATCGAAACTGCAAACGAAGCAGGAAGTGAAATAGAGATAAACGATCTCGTGAGAAGAGTCATCGGTTCCGAACCACCAATAAACATACGAAGAATACACCCCGCCCCCGACTCCAACGATGGCGAAGAATCTCCTGTTCTCCTAGCAGCCGACGTACTCACAACATTTTATCTGGAAGCCAATCCAGAATCGAAAGTCTCACAATTACAACTCGTGCCCTACTTCATTTGGTACCATAATGCTCACCTTTCCATTCCACAAATTGCAAGCATATGCAGCAACCGGGATAATAGGACTATAATCAAGCGAATATTGACGGTAATCTCGGTAGATAAACTACCTTATGAAAAGCATAGATTGAGAGATCTTTTAGAAGGGTTGTCGAAAAACGCGGCCTGGGAGAATTTTAGAGGATTGGTGGAGGCGGTTGATACACCGGATGTTCGTGAGGATTAGAAAGTTAGCACGAGAAGGCGTTTGAAATTGGAGTTTTTGATTTGGGCTTGAGAATGGGTGGCATGGGTGGGAAGGGTACATGATATGATACACTACTATGGTTACTGGGGCGGTCATTGTGAAATGGTTATCTTATGGTTTATTGGAATCCTCAAAGACCTTGCGATTGGTCATATATTGGATTTTGTAAATTCTGTAAATTCTGTGCGTTGAGCAGGGAAAGAGTGAAATATAAAATATGAAATTTTCCCACTCAAATTCATTCCCCTTAAAAATATATCAATATTTCAAGTGACTCCCAGTTGATGGTGCACACATTAGTTGATAGGTATAGCAAGAATGCACTTTCAATACTTTCTGAATCGATGAATATATACGCCACTTGATATCATGCTTTCCATGGAGGTGCACACAGAATGCCTTTCAAGCCATTTGAAAGTTGATACACTCTTGTCTGTTGAGAATTTTCTCTGTCTGTTTGGTATGAGAACTTCATGTGCTGCTGCTGCTGCAAGGGACCAGGACATATTTATATTAGCTTCAACTCATTGAGCTAGCTAGGAGGTAGGAGAGTATTATGAATTGAAATGAAATGTGAAATATAATGGGAAGAGTCAAGATACTTAAGATTGTGGTTTGTTCGAGCATTGTGTTATGTACGCTGACTGTATGATATGTTAATTAATGAAATCAAGATATCATCATTCCTATTCAGGAGTCAGGAAATGACGATTATTTGTATCTGGGGACATCGATTCGCATTGCGGATGTTGATTTGGAAGTGGAGATTATCCTGGCTGAACGTTGTATTGTATTGTGTTATTTGAGATAAGAAGATATTTGTACTTATCAAGACATCACATAGCATGTTCCAGTAACATACTCTTATTTTCTCTTGGACCATTCATTACTATCTTGATATTTTTTAAAGTAGAAATGAAAGTAACGGAATTACAATCGTGTACTAGTTCCTAAGCTCCAAAGTTCCTGATATATATATACATATTCATAACCAACAGCCCACAACACCCAAACCCTTAAACCCCCATCTTATAATTTCGATTCGTTAGTAGCATTGCCATTAACGGTAGTAGCATGACTACCCTTCATTGGCGCCCCATTGCTCTCATTATGACTCAAACTAACCCCCTTCATCATGTTCGCCGTTCGGTTCTTCTCATCCTTCGCCATACCATTATGCGTACCACTGAAGTTCATGTCCGCAATACCTGGGTATCCCTTGATACCCGTTGCCTTCTCGAGACGACTAGCTAGATCCTCGGATACCTCGCGGAAAATAGCAATCTGGCGTTTAATCGCCTCTTCCTTTCTGCAGTTCGCCATGTGTCCGGAAATGTTACTGATAAAGCGATCTTTGGCTCCATCATCGAAGACTTTCTCCCACAGGGCTCGTGGGGCTTTGAAATCTTCTTCACGGATTTCAGAGAGGAAAGTGACTGCGTTACCGGTGAAGTGACCGTGAAGTTTATCAGTATCGACTGTGCGTTCTCTGAAGCGGATGGGTTCAATGGAGGAGATATAGTTAGGACGAGAACCCTGGTTGTAGAAAGCCATACCGCCATCACGCTGGAAGTTGCCCATACGGTAACTGGTACGGGGGCATTGACGGGGAGTTGTTGGTAATTTACACCTACACGATGACGATGGGCATCTGGGTAGGAGAAGAGACGCGATTGAAGAACTGGATCCGCGGAGGGCTCGAGTCCTGGTACCAGGTGAGCGGGATTGAAAGCTACTTGTTCGATTTCGGCAAAGTAGTTAACTGCATTCTCGTTGAGAGTGAGTTCTCCAACCTTGCGGAGTGGAAATTGCTTGTGTGGCCAGACGTGGGTAAGATCGAAGACGTTAATCTTTTCTTTCTCCCACAAGTCCTCGGCTTCCTTGGCTGTCATAGTTTGAACTTCGAGACTCCACTTTGGGAAATCACCCTTCTCGATCGCCTCATAAAGATCCTTTTGAGCATAGTCTGGTGACTTCTCGGCAGACTCTTCTTGTGTGAAGAACTTTGTTCCTTGCTGGGAAATCATGTGGAATTGACAGTACACCCATTCGCCAGCCTTGTTGACAAGCTTGATGGTATGTCCAAAATATCCATGCATATGACGCCATCCATCTGGAATACCACGATCACCCATAAGAATCATGACTTGATGAACTGATTCTGGGTTCTGAGAAAGGTAATCCCAGAACATCGTTGAATCATCAGCATGTGTAAGATGGGTGGCTGGATCCCGCTTTTGAGTGTGAATAAAATGAGGGAACTTGGCTGGATCTCTCAAAAAGAACACTGGTGTATTGTTGGCAACTAAATCCCAATTTCCTTCATCGGTCTTGAACTTGACAGAGAATCCTCGTGGGTCACGAGCACAATCGTGCGAACCGGATTCACCACCGACAGTGGAAAATCTGACGGTGATTGGACACTCTTTGCCTTCTTGAAACATATCTGCAAGACACAAGTCATCCAACCCATTTGTAGTTTTGTATACACCGTGAGCTCCACCACCTTTGGCATGCACAACACGCTCTGGGATTCTCTCGCGGTCGAAATGTGAAAGGAGGTCGATCAGGTGAAAGTCTTGGAGGAGTAATGGTCCGTTCTCGCCTACGCGTTGTGTCTCATATGGATGTGGCATTGGTACGCCGTTGGCAGTTGTATAAACGACATCTTGAGACTTTGCGCTTCTATCATCTTGATAGTCGCGATACTGATCACCGGAAGTCTTGCGGGAGGACATAATGAATTATTGTGAAAATAAAATTGTAGATAATGAAAAGTAATTGGTATCTACAGATAGTAATGTAATAGTAATAAACAACCAATTTCTAGACTCAATGGATAGGTCCTGCCATATATGTACCGTGCCTTCTCGGCATTTTGCCTCGTACACAAAAAAATCAATGACTTCATGACTTCATGAATGCGGGATGTTCAATGGAAACCCTTTGATTGGCTGAACGGCTTAGTTGTAATTGATACCAAGCAAAATGTTGTTTTTAGCGTTGACGCTTGCTTGAGATTCATGGAATGCGGAGACGTTAGCCGCTAGTAATGATGTATTACCGTGATACCAACGATCGAGAACCTTTTTGATTTCCAAACATAATTACATAATCTGCCAGATCTTCGAACATTTTAAATCTGCATATTGATGCCTCTATATCTTGGAACCGAGCTATATTGAATAATGCAGTGCTCCTCAACGGTGGCCAACTCTACAATTCGTCAGCGCATTGTCTTCTTCTAAGCAAAGAACTTTCTAATAAGAAGCAAGCCACAAATTCGGGATGTACACAGGCGATACTTCGCCTTCATCTAAGTTAGAATCATAACTGAGTGATGTACTCGTGAAACCAGCCCACTATTCCCCTCAAATAGTGGCAAAAACAACGCGAATCTCTATGAAAAGAGCCATCAAGATCGTAATCACAATTCCCATCCACAACACGTTTCCGATATGGCGATTTCATCGCAATCGAGATAAACACCATGCAACTTCAATAGGTACACATAGCAAAAGAATACGAGTACGAATAAAGAAGCTTAAATGATACCTAACGCACTACCGGCATTCGGGCTGTGAGAACGAGAACAGAGACCAGAGAACAGATTGGTTTTTCAAAATCCCATCGGAGATAAAATTCAAATTCAGATGTGGTGGCGAACCTTCCCCAGATTCTAGTCGATCGGGTGGGGTAAACGCATGATCTGATTAGTCATTATTAAAGACTTCGTTTCTCTTCGGTTACGAACACGATCTCCACAAATAAATCTGAAGCTCAAGAATATACACTTCACCAAGTCTTCATCCTGTTTGCTCATATCCATCTATTGGCACCCTCACTCACATTTCACTCAAATATAACCGAGAACAGAAGAGAAATGATTTAGCTGCAAAATCTTCTCTAATTCCTATCCAGCACCAATACTTGACCAAGCACCCCACATCCCACAATATACCTGCGATGTCAAGAAACGGCATCATAGCTTCATAGTCGACCACTACATCTATCACATACATCTCATGAATCTCATAGAGGCAACAGTTCACAATTGTACACTCAAGCTATACCACCTACACAAGTCAAACAGCAACCCAGTCGGTACCTCTGACCTAGGTGCATCTATTACATCGTTCCCTCTTAGAAGTCACTAGCTGCAACGATGAGTATGTAAGATCTCATAACCAATGACCCGTTTTCTCAATTTCAATGAATTTACGCAATGAGATCCATGGGAAAGATTTCTCCATACATCGTTGATCTCACAACTTTTCGATTATCTAATGTATTCCCCCCCTGCGTGTGGTTGGTGTACTTATCATCTACTAGTTGTGATGCATGATTTTGGTTGCTCATTCTATTTGTTCTTTACTCCACACCAAGGCTTAATAGGAACACTAAATGATGCCTATTCCTATTGTAATAGTAGTATCTTATATATGTGTCCTTGTGATACCTAGGTGTCTTACAACTGTCCTTATCATAGTGTGTTCCACGATATTATGGCTTGTAAATGAAGTTTGTTTCATTTTAGCTTGACCAATCACGATTAGGGTATTTTGGCGCGAACCAACGTAGTGAATTTGCTAACAAAGTAGCCAAAAATGGTGCCAAGCTGCTGGTAACTTTTCCTATAAAAGGAACCTTCACCTCCTCATCTTTTTGTATCTTTTTCATTTCCTTTGTAAAATAGTATCGTTGGTATTTGTGATATCAACAAGGATTAAATTTGGAGAAGCATGTAAGTACAGTTGAATTGGTCATATCTGCATCTTGTTCTTTCCGAGCTGAGTTGAAATCTTCCCACACCATTCCCGTTCTTTCCAGTAATCTCTACCATTTTTTTTGCTTCTTTTATCACCTGCTTTATGCCCTCCAACAATTTGCCTCTTTCTCGAAGAAGTCGCCAGTGGCAGGCAATGAGAGTTTCGTACCAACGATGGGGAAGTAGGATTTTCACTAAGCCATGTGAATTGGTCGAATGCAAAGATTGAAACATTTCTGCCACGACAATGTTTAGTTTCGCAGCAAATGCAAGAGAGGGTGGAACCATCTTACCATGTATCTGCTGTTGTGCACACCTCAGAAGCACTGGCGGATGAGATACAATTCACGGGGCGCCTCGTTGAAGGCCGGCCATGTCCATAACAATTCGATAATTCAACAAGATATGGCACTAAGTCTCTGCTCTGTCGATGCAAGTTGAGAGGATCGATATTACGTAACTGCTTTTTATCAACTGTTAGCTATTGTGCACCCATAATTCAAGTCGAACACCCCCTACGCCCCCCAATAAACGGTTGTGGCATAATTCAAAATTTGTGATTCATTTTGAGACTGCAGAAGGCAGAAAGCAAGAGAGGACCAACTTACTTCTCTGTGTCCTTTGAAACTCTGAAGAGTTCACAAACTCACACAATTTGACTGTAGGTTTTGCGGAGCAATGATGATTTCTCTGAGCTCAGTTAGCCATCGCCGGATTGAAGATTTGAGAAGTGTGCCGCAGCAGATCAGTTCCAAGTAGTCCCGGGTGCTTCAATTTGCGAGCACTGACATAGTGCAATGAGTCAAGACCTGAGCTTACCGAGTGGGTTATTTGTTCTTGGATAATCTGGGAACGAGCGCAATGAGAATTGATATCTCAAGCGTGGATCGCCGGCCGTACTTTGAACGATGGAAACCGCTGCCAGAACTAGAATCCCGTGGGTAGGGTTTCGTGGGCTTCGTATTACTAGAGCTCCTAAGAGATTACCGTGGGCATCATAAATTGTGTAAACAGGGGCAATAGAGCATAAAACTTTTGTTTAAAATGTAGCCTTCAAGCACAAACCACCGGGTCCAATCCCGATGGCTCTAACTTTCAGACACAGACATGGGAGAAGTCTGGCCCTAAGTTGCCTGAGGCAATTTGTTCTTGGATCTGCTAGGAGCCCAGCGAGAACTGAAATCTCGTGGGAAGACTTTGAGACAGTATTATGAGGTCCGTAATAAGAATCAATGTGTTTTTCCCCACTGGGGCTTGTGGAATTTTTGGGATTTTCTGGGAGCCCTCCGAGAACTGAAATCTCGTGGGAAGGTTGAGACAGTAATTATACTGAGGTCCGTAATAAGAATCAATGTGCTTTTCCCCACTGGGGCATGTTTGTGGGATTTTTTGGGATGCGCATAGGAACACATTGAGAATTGAAGTCTCAAGTGTAGGCCGGCATCAATAACTGGAATCAACGTACCTCAATTGCGTTTTCTCAGTTGAACGAATGTGGGCAATTTTGAACATTTTCCTCAGGGAGGTCTTTGAGAATCAAAACCTCGAGGTTAGGGTTTATTGACAGTTATGTGGGGAAGACGGTATTTCAATGAGCTATGATGAAGAAGTTGACCATGTGTCACGAATAATCTGAGCCATTTTGAGAATATGTGTTGTTGAATGATGAAGAATTGATGAAGGAAGAATGAAAGAAGTGATGGATGTTAGAAGTTTGTTGACGATGAGTGTTGAGAAATTGGTGTGATGAGTACGAAGAAGAAGAGAAAGAGGAAGAAGAAGAGAAAGAGGAAGAAGAGGAACAGGAAATTTATTGAGAGAAAAGCCAAGTGGGGAATACTAAAGTATCTGTTATCTCGCTCGTACGACTTTCCGTGGTCGTGGTTTCTTTAAGTGAGGGTGCGATTGACTAGTTCAAGATTTGATTATGAAATGGCAGGAGCGAGGGACCGCGATGGGGAGACTGGAAAAACCAAAACCACATCTAACTTCAAGATCCTGTAAACGGGGCAAGAACAACTGCTAATTTGTTTCTATCATCTAGATACATCCTGAGAGACAAAATCATGACCTCCGAGGTTACTGGCACGCAAGATGTGTTTTTGCACAAATGCCTTGATATTTATTAATATTTTGTAAGGGGCTCTAGGTTTGAGACTTAATACCGTCTTTGAATTTACAGGCACTTAACTGACCTTCAATTAGTACAAAAAATACTTCACATGAATACCGTGTTGAACTGACGGGAGGTTCAAAAACGACAATCATGACCATCTACCCCTACCCCAATACTCAGAAGAGTTCCAAATGATGGATCTCAAAATCAATGTAAGATTCCATCTTTAACTGAAAGTTTTACAACAGATTCCTGATTTTTCAACACCATATCATCGTTCTGTTGCTGGGGAAATAAATTTTTGGGCGACTAATTTAAGCGAGAATGTCACAGGGGAAAAGGGGATTTTGATGTTCCAATGTGTGGTTGAACTATGCGGGGTAGAATATCTGCTACAGAGTTCGCTACTCCATTCATTAATTCATTGACTGTATATATATATTATGGTAAGTAATTAGTAAAGATCAATATTGAAAACATATAATTGGTATTCTGTACCGTATTCTCTATCTTAGAATTCAGGAGATGATTCGTGAGTCTTCAATATCATACGAGCAACGAGCTTCCCATCCACAAAACTAAGCTGTCTATACAATTAAATCTTTGATGTATCGATATCTATAATTATCTCTTCTAACTGAGAAAATCTACAATCTTGAGATTATTGCCTCAGGCCTGTCTTAAATGATCGTGACCCTACAAATCCTGTAGCGACAACACAAACAACGAGCATTCCATGCCCGCTTTTATAATCAAAGATAGTAAAGTTTCTAGGGGACCTGATATCTTGGATTCATGCCCGAATTCTGAGTAGGCTTAATCCCGTAACTATTCATTTCCTACAGCATACCATACTTCTACCTAGATTGCCAGGGAAACAGAATATATATTTTGAAGTATAATAAATATCGGTCAAAAAGTAGTGAAACAGAATGTGGGTAGTTCATTTGCAACTTCTGTCTCTTGTTTATTAATTACCAATTGTTCCTGCACGGCGCTCGCCCCCAGACTATTGCAGTCGAAAGCTTCAGAGGCACAAACAGCAGCCGAACCCCTGATCTTTCATTAGATGTGCAACAAAACACACTCAGTCCTCGGAATTTTGCCGGAATTATACTTTAAAAATCTTGGTTTATTCCAGACTTGATTCCTTGAGTTGCCCCACTTCGAGCTGAATCTCAGAGTGGCCATCTTCTAAGACTAGTAACCACCTGATCCAAGAATAACCCCGTATGACATCGATGATCAATTTTACTTTGGAACTTTCGTTGAGAAAGTGCTCTGCGTTCATTCTTACCTTCTGGTATTTGAATATTGACAGGAGTGGATGTTGGAATCATTTTTTTCGAAAGAAACTTACAGAGCCATTCCAACATGCATACTTCATCAGAAACGATGAATTACCAGATATTTCGACATTCTCAAACATGTGATTATCTTGAAAATCTCAAGTTCATTTTGTCCTTAAAAATCCAATTACAACTCGATGACCAAACGCATTTAATCCCTGAATCCAGTCTGAACGATGAAAGAGTTTGAGAATTGAGATACCGCATTCATTTTTGATGAAAGGAAATATCAAAGCCTGAATATGAACCTTCGAATAGGAATCGTATTAAAAGTCAATTAATGCATTTACTTAGACGCAGAATCGACAGGGCGTCAGAAGGCAGACTTAACGTTAAACAGTAAGCACATAATGCGATAGAAAACACACTTCTTACCACTTTGTTTCCTTAATCAAGTTCCCTCAATGGCTTCTATTGATTCTTTAAGTTTGCTGTGCGCCCAATCATTACGATCGTAATGATGTTGAGAGGATAGTTTGACTTGGTACTGATGATCTTGGCTCCGTCATCTCGCTAGGTCATTTTTCGCTAAAATCTACTTTGTGGGATTCGTGTCATCACACTGCAGTTTTACTTCCTTACATCTTGATTCAATTCAAAACTCAAGAGCTGAGAATTAATCCAACATAATATCAATAATCCGAGGCCCATCTTTACTCCAAATTCCCATTTCAAAATCAAACATGAAAACGATCCTGGATCCCCGATTTCCCTCTGAGGAATACGAGGAGTACGACGAAAAACCAAGACACGACTTTTTCCCCATGAAACACGGTATTGCACGAAGGCAGAATCTCGAAAGTCCATGGGATCTTGAAAAGAATATCCGAAGAAATTCATGGGACGGAACATTAAAGCCAGCATCCGGGTTCGAAGAAGTCACGTCATCGGACCTGGAAGGGAAGATGTGTGAGAAGTGCGAAAGAAACAAAAGAATTGCGTATAGTTGGAATCCTGCTTTTCTTTGTCTTCCGTGGCTTGAATGGATGTATCCCATCGGTTTTGTGGTTATATTTGTTTTTTCACTCGTGGTGATGACTGTGGTACGTATCATCCACCCCACCAGATTAATCACAACAACTTCCTTGATTATCAAGCCATAATAATGACTCTATGATCATAGTCGGATGCAAACGAGATAAAGGGACCAAATCCAAGTGAAGACATATCAAAGACACCATTGGCAGGAATGACTCATATTGATTCCTTCGATCTCAGACACGCTGATCTAAACGCAACGATGCCTTGGTTATGTACCAAACTTCAGTCCATGCGACACCACAAAGGCTGTTATGATATTACATGGTTATTTGGGAGCTACGCTGGATGGAGCTTTCTAGCCTATTGCTGGATGCATTTCAGTGCGATAAGCTTCAGTATTGTGGGGGCATCATGCCTTTTATACGCAGTGATCTGGCATCATAGGTGCATGAGATTTGGTCATAATCCAGTGATAACAAGAAAGGAAGAGGTGAATTTAGTTCCGAAAAGACAGGATTATTTGTCTAAACTTGAAGCTGGAATCAAAGGGCCATTTGAAAGGTTGTTCAGCAGAGAATGGCGTTCACAACCAGTGACTCTTGGATGTTGCATTATTTTCGTCATTTTTTTGTGGGCAGGTGTAATGCTGTACAATGTAATACAAAGAGGATCTTGATCACAATCTCTATGGCTGGATTGTAGAATTATGTTTAATACAATCTCATTATACATAATTAGTATAAGCTTAAAGCCCATTCAACTATCCTCATTAGGCACGATTACCTTTCAACCCAGGGAAATGGAGTGGTTCATCAAATATGAAAGTTGGTGAAAACTTTCCCAAGAGCCTTAGATCAATAACCCAATTTCAGTATACTGCTACTGATAAATCACAAGATTATAATACCATGGTCAAGCCCATGAGAAGAAGGTACTTTGCCACCCTGTAGAGTGAAGCAACTTCTGTTTTTAGGATTGAGTATTCAAGAGAAAAACCATTCTCCGCTAGTTCCTATGCATTGAATGCTTCTTGATGAAGGTGCGGACTGTGTATTCATCCATCCGTTTCTTCCAACCAACTCTTTACTTTTTACCATTGTAAGCATTTTCTCTTCCCAGTTTATACAATCGAAATTACTTCTTTCAAAAGTTGTATCGTATCAACGAATTTCTAATCAAATCTCAAGATATTCATCAACACAACATTCGCCCAGTTGCTCAGCTCAAATCCAATACCTATATTGCAAATCATCACACGTCTTGGCCGCGCTGATTTCTAACATTTGAATCTACCACCACGGCTATGTGCATCCATCGACGGAGCTGGTCCCATTCGTCATAATCTCCTGGAATCGGGCTGCAATGATGTTACACGGATGTATCAAACATATACTGGCTGGATTAGTCTGGCTTATGTTATAATCAGCTTCGGTGGAGGCTTTTTCATACTATGGCTCATGATAGGTATTCTGTGTGAGTGCGTATTTAATCGTAACTGCCTACGCGATAAGAGGTATGGAATTAGTTTGAATGTGACCGAAGGAGTAGGTCAGAAATTGAACGTTCGAAAAGACGTGATGACATCTCGGGATATGAACGAGGAAGAAAAAAGGCAAATTTCGTCAGTCGGGTGACTAGACGATAACGAGGATGAAATTAGGGAGAAAAGCTATGTTAGAATCATGGTGAATGAGTTCAGGAGTAAGACGTGGACAGATCCTGAATATTTGCTCATGAGCATCCAGAAATTGTGCATGTTTTGGTTTTATTCTATAATCACATGCGCCTTAATCTCGTTCATTGTATCTGAAGCTACAGATTGGTTACGTCGGAAAATTTGGAGTGTACAAACAATCGGTCGAGGACTGTAGATATAACAGGTTTCATGTAGTGTAACTAGCGTATTCAGTTAGTAATTAGTCTATATGGGTCACTTGAAAGTCCCAGATGAGCTCAGCCAACGTTCAACTTAACCAAGGAAACCCTGAACTTGTACCAAACTAGCATATATTTCCCTACTTTAATCTAATCTAATCTCGAACTGCCGGCATGACTATGTCAATGGTCCTTTCAACCTGCATAATTATTTGGAAGAGCTTAAAGTCCCTCAAACTTCTAGAATACCACAGTACACCGGTACAGCAAGAACTTTCATCTGAAATTTCCAAACTGTATTGACATGTCTAAATTACCTATGATTCCAGCCAGAAGGGATTCGATGCGCTGCTGAAGTTCTTGCAGCCGAAGCTTTTGAGGCTCTCAATGTCACAACTGTCGAAGAAGCTCGAGCACTTAAATATGAGACCATCATTGTGAACACTGAAGCTCAAGATTAACAAGTTAAGCCTGCACTTGATTGCTATGCCATCCCGAGAAATACATCGAGAAACTCCGGGACGGAGCCGGAAACCCCGTTCCATACATCACTGGAGCAAATTTAGATGAACACGGTGTATCCGACACCTTCACAACCACCACCGCCGATTATAAGGAGTATGTCGCCGGTAATTATGGCGATTATGCTAATGATTTTCTGAGTCTTTATCCTGCCGAAAACAATACTCAAGCGTCGCTCTCTGAAACTGCTCCTGTTCGTGACCAAAGTACTGTCTCTTGCTGGCAATGGATGAAGGATATACCAACTCTTCCGGTGGTGTCAATGGCTACACATATTTCTGGAACTACCATGCACTCGATATTGGAACTGCATCCCACGGTAGTGAGTTCGTTTACACATTGGGAAATCTCTGGGCTCAAACTGGTGTTAACTATACCGCTGAGGATTGTTATGTTTCCAATGTGTTGAGTAGTTACTGGGCCAACATCATCAAGACGACTGATCCAAACTCTGGAACCTGGAGACTCTTATAATAACGGCACTTTGCCTGCTACTTGGGAGCCTAACTCTTCTACAAAGAGAGAGAATTTCAAAGTTGGAGCTGAGTATGGTATGATTGTTGTTGCAGCATCGCTTGCTAAGTTTGGGGCTTTCCTCAAATGGTTTGCTGACACTCCAGCTATCTAAGCAGAATGCGATATGGACATCGAGGATCTCTCAGTTACCATAGGAGCTGTTGGCATTGAGATTGAGTTGAGAAAGGGTTGCAGTGCTCGTAAACCTTTTGCGCTGTACCACGTTTATGTAATGATTAAATTGTAGCAAATCCATTCACTTACTTTGATTGCTGCAAAAATCTTCGAGTGCAAGAGTTTTAATTTGCTAAAGTGATCAGAATAATTTCAACATCCAACCCTATTATTTGAGCCAGACCTATATACAGAATTCTATCACTCGGTATATAAATCTTTAACAACTTTTCATACCCAAGATCCTGTTTCAAGATTCATAAATCAAGATGGTTTGATTTGAGAGAATAGCCGAACAAGTTCCAAACTAAACCTAAAATGACATCTTACTGACCTCTTAACATCACTGCTATCCCAGATAATATCTGTTAATACTCTTAACAAGTATTTGTTGCACATCTATAAACTCAAATTACAAGGGGGATCCTAACAAGGCCCCCTAATAAGCGTCCAAAGAAAGACGATCTATTGCTAGCTCTGCATGTTACTCGATTGAATTACCGGATGTCATTCGCCCTAGCGATCTCACATCACACAACTCCGCCATCAACTCAAACCTAATTCTAACTTTTCATATAAAATCACAAACTAGCATGGGCCTTTCCCCAGATTAACTAACTCAAAGTTGTGGACAATACATAGCTTCATGGCTAGAAGAACCCATACAAGAAGACGCGATACAGGTCACCAGACCACGAGAATTTCAATCACTATACTCTCCACCATAACCAATTAGTCCAGCTACCTAGTCTCGAGCTCATTACTCCCAGATCACCATCATGAAATCCGTCCTGATCCAAAACTTTGACTTCCTGCAAAAGAGTTTCGTCAAAATCCCCTTTTGAACATCCAACATCTCATTTCCCCTATTAACTCCATTTCTCAATATCTGAGCCACTGAGAAAGCATCGAAGCCATTTGTCACAATGACGAAACGTCAAATCCCGATCTTTAACGACGAGAAGGATAGCATAATCTGCAACGAATATCTTGCAAAAGCCGAAGCCGAAGCTCAACTACAGTTCTCATCCGAAAAAGTCAAGATTGATTCAAATATCACAGTCCACACCAACGACTTCAATCCTGCCTCATCCCAAGTCATTCACTGCCGAAAAAAGTATGCTACATATATATCTTTTCTGAGCTTTCATCGCCATGGCTCCTTGTCTATTATTAAGTCTTCTCCCACATGAACCAGATAAAATGTCCACTATTCCTCATCTACCTCAAATTTCTCGCTAATCCATCAAGAAACAATTATTTACCATATCACGCCAAAATAAAACAAATCGTCATGATACTTCAACCGAGATCATCCATCAAACAATCACTCATTCCGAAAGCTGGAATTACAAGACCGAGTTTAATCCCCTTAGATATATACTCAGAAAATCTCAGTTTTCTCCCAGACAAATTGAATGGGGACATAATTATATCTTACCCTTAACACGATTCATCTTTTCAGGTGTTACATGGGAAGAATGGCACCTTGGCAGCTTTTTCTGTGCCGAATTAATGTTGAGTATGATATCTGTGCTCCTCGTTATTATTCACATATGACGATATCTTGAAGAGCGTAGATTGGATGACGGTGAAAGTATGGGCGTTGGAGGGACGATTGTATAGGTTGACATGTCGCAAAAGTGGTTTCTTCTCATAAATTTCATTTTACATGCTATCGTAATACAGTTGATGATGATGAATTCCATATGTGCAGTGTTACGGTATCCAAGGGCTATGGGTTATCAGTTTATCAGAACTCAGTATTAGATGTTGTCTCCAGTCAGAGAGTTGAGACTTTGGATTTCCATACAATTTTTCAAAATTTTGTTTTATCTTTTAGTCTCTTTTTTTAGACGACCATAACTAGGCTAGTCGGTATTCTTATTCTTCAGGAAAGGGAGAGGAGAATCTTTTACTCAGCATACGAGTGCACCCCCCCAAAGACCCTCTGACATCTAAATCCGGTAAGGGAATGATAACAATATTCTGAGTGATACCAGTCTTGGATCTCTCGAGAGATGGTGGAAGAAACGTGAAGTTCCAAAGTCTTGAAAACTATTGATGGAAATAGGAATCAGAGAACAGATATGGCATTTAATTATTTAGATATGCAGGAGTGCGATCAAGCGTCTGAGGCAGGTTCTTAAGGGGCCGAGGACGGGGGCTGAAGGTAGGGGGGGAGGAGGACTGGTATTCATGAGATTTAATATAAGTGGAATGATGATAAAGAATAGAGTATATGGAATTGGTTACGACTAAAATGAGGATATAGAGAAAGATGTGAATCATGTCATTCATAAGTTCCAGTGCAAAGAACTGTATATGGATTGTGAGGTATCAAAAGTCATGCAGAAAATATGTAAGTTTTGAAATGGAATAGAAGTATACTATATTCAAGGGGTTTATTGAAGTACCCAAATCCAAACAAATAGATCAAATCAACAGTAGCGTGGTCAAGCTCTTCCCTCTCCTCTGTCAAGTCCAAACTTCTACTACACCCTATCGAACATTCATTTCTCATATTCCGCCTCCCCCAGATGGGAACTATCTCCTTCTATGGACCCAAGAGAGGGATTGAAGTGTAATTTGGGCATGTTGATCAAAAAGTAGAACAGTTTACTTGCATAATAAATGCGAAACTGACTGAAGAGCACTCAGAAGACACGTCCTCAGACTACCTAGCTCCACATCACCTCCCAAGCCGAACGTAAGGAAATCCTCCAAAAGAAACCAATCAAGTCTTGAGCATCATATAAATTTATTTTCCAGTGAATCATACTGATACAACCAAGATTCCACGGAGAAATATCGTTTCTCACAATCCTTTCCGAAACCAAATCATCATTTATATTCATCGTCTTTCCTTCAATATCAGTCGGTAGAATTAGCCCTCTCTTAAATTTACTCCACCATTCCCCAACTTGATATCCACAGATAGCTATAAGAATCACCATCAAATTGACAGCGAATACAACTATCATCCAGCACTTAGCCACTGCATGCCAACCTTCCAAAGCTTGGTACAGCTACCTAGAATCCTCACATCCATATCTCGCATCGATCCCTGTACTTGAAGAAGCGTCCTCCGTCCGGAGAAGACCCACACATCCACACATGATTTTGCGCAACGCTGTACTATTCCTCGTCAGATTTCTCAAATCTAAAGAATTCAGATAGTTGAAGTTTTAGAAACCCCCAAACTCCTCTCCTTCTAAGGTACTCTCGTGAAATCAAGTGAGAATGCACCAAATCTGAGCGACTATATATTAGCACCAACTCTCCATCTACACACCCATCTATCCATCAACAGAAACTCAAGTAGAAAATGCAATCTTATACATCCATCTTTGCTCACCTACAAGAGTCAAAAACAACCAACCCATAGAAAACATCCAAACATCCAAACATCCAAACACACCAAAATACCCACCCGCAGTACCAACCCTCAACCCCAATCTCACCCACCAGACTGCCCTCCTTCAAAATCACCTAGGCCTCAACACCCAACTTATCAACACCGCCTCCAAGCCCCCCGCGCATCCTCAAAATCCCATCGAATAGCCTCTTCAAGACCCCCGCCCCCAAACCAGCGAACCACCCAACAAAAGTCGTCCAAACGAGCCATCTATCGATACCACACCTCAACCTCATCTCGATTCTCAATCCTCCCCGAAGCAAGTTCCTACTCCTAGCCCACTGTATCCGAATCTAGGGGACGAGAATTCTTTCCCCCAAGTTCGAGTTTAGCGATGAAATCTCGCGTCCCATCTTGTGCGCCGCGTTGGGAATCCTCAACCTCATTTTCATTTCCATTTTCATTTCGAATATATACACACACATATACAAATGCAAACCCTACTCCCCCACCTATCTGAATTCCAAACCATTGTCTACCCCAACACCCCACCACCTCACTAACCAAACAAATATCAGGTGCCAGATTTTGCAACGAGTTAACACCTAGATACCTAGAAATAGCCTTGAAGACTTAAAGTAGAGAATGGGTAAAGATTCGTATTATATCCCATTATATCAATATGAGAAAAGGAAGAAGAAAAAGAAAAAGAAAAAGAAAGAGAAGGAGAAGGAGAAAGGGAGATTATTCAATACCTACCTACCTACCTACCTACCTATCCGCCTACTCAAGCTCAAACTCAAGCTCAAACGCAAATTACTCGGTACCATACTGAGAAATAGGCATATAGATTCTGAGGGGATTGCTTTCTCAATTAACCATTCGAAATCAAAACCACTTGATAATTATTATTCACCTTGAAGTTTCAATCACATCATATTATCATGCTCTTTCAAGTTTCCACTGCACGGCATAGACCGAACAAACTCAAATACCGAAAAAGAAGAAAAAAATCCATTCTTATTCACCAACATAAGCTCGAGTATATAAAATGAAGATAGCATTGTCCAATACCGATAATATACATAACATGGTTTATATCCGGACAATTTAAGACACCCTACTCTATCACCCCATGATGAGCAGTCTCGTCACCCCCAATGCACACGCAAATCTCAATGCCCAACGTTAAATGCAACGCCTATTCCATAAAACTCAATGCCTCGTTAAAATTATCATCCATACATTATAGCCATTCACCTACCGCCTCCTATGAAACGCCCCGATCCAGTCCGTTCCCCATATGTATGCGTCCAAGCCTTCTGCGCCCCATTGACAATGCCATAATTGCACCCCAAGAGTGTTTTCTTTACACTACTCCATAGGAGCAAAGAATCGACTTGCTTCAATAATATCTTGATCACCA